GTTGTTCTGCCTTAACTGTAGCTTAGGCTTTTATTATATATAGACTAGAAGCCCCGTGCACAAAAATTTGTGCACTGGCGGGGGGGGGGGTCCCTCAGCCCCACTTGTGCCCTCTCACAGTCTGGGACCCCTCGGGAGATAACGACCTGCTGGCTTAGGCCTGCTCCCGGGTGGCAGAGGGCAGGCCCAATCCCTAGGTGCCTGCCCCGCAACTCCTGGTCTGTCTCAGAGCAGGGCCAATTGGGGAGTTGGGGCACCGCCCCCTGTCATGCACAGAACAGGGCGGATCAGGAGGTTGCGATGCCATCTTCAGTCATGCTCAGGGTAGGGCCGATTGGGGGGTTGGGGCGCCGCCCACTGTCACATTCAAGGAAGGGTTGATGGGGAGGTTGCGGCGCCACCCCGTCAAGCACAGAGCAGGGTGGATCATGGGGTTCTGGTGCCACCCCTGTCACATACAGAGCCAGCCGATTAGGGGGTTGGGGCACTGCCTCCTGTCACACAGGGATAGAGCAGGGCCGATCAGGGGGTTGAGGCACTGTCCCTTGTCACTCACAGAGCAGGGCCCATCAGGGGGGTTGGGGCTCCGTACCCTGTCACGCACAGAGCAGGGCCGATCAGGGGGTTGGGGCGCCGCCACTATCACACTCAGGGCAGGGCCGATGGGGAGGTTATGGCTCTACCCCGTCACACACAGAGCAGGACCCGTGGGGGGCGGTTGGGGCGCCACACCCTGTCACACACAGAGCTGCAGGGCGATCAGGGGGTTGGGGAGCTCCCCCCTATCAGGCACAGAGCAGGGCTGATCAGGGGGTTGGGGCGCCTTCCCCTGTCACAAACAGAGCAGGGTGGATAGGGAGGTTGTGGCCCCGCTCCCTGTCACACACAGAGCCGCAGGGTGGTCATGGGGTTTGGGCGCTGCCCCCTGTCATACTGATCCCATTGCCGGGAGGCCTCGCGGATCTGCTGATACCGGTGCTGGGAGGCATATTACCCTTTTACTATATAGGATAGAGGCCTGGTGCACGGGAGGGGGCCGGTTGGTTTGCCCTGAAGGGTGTCCTGGATCAGGGTGGGGGTCCCCACTGGGGTGCCTGGCCAGTCTGGGTGAGGGACTGAGAGCTGTTTTCAGGCTGGCGGGTAACTGAAGCTCCCAACCGCTCCCTTTTTTCTTTTTTTTTTAAATTCTGTTTAGCTATGAGGCTTGGCTCCAGCTCTTACGTCTCAGCTGCTGAAAGCAGGTATCTGGTTTGTTTGGGTTCTATAATTGAAACAATCTTTCAACTCCAGCTCTGAGATCCTGGCTGGCTGAAAGCAGGTTTCTGGAGTTTGTTTAGTTTCTATATTTGTAACAATGTTTCGAACTGCAAGCTCAGAGGCCGGCAGCGGCAGGCAGGGAACGTTAGCTTCCTCCGTCACTGAAGCAAGCAAGCCTCATGTTAGCTTCAAGCTGCCTGGCTGCCGGCCGCCATCTTGGCTGGCAGTTAATTTGCATATCGCCCTGATTAGCCAATGGGAAGCGTAGTGGAGGTATGGCTAATTACCATGTTTCTCTTTTATTAGATAGTATAATATCTACATATGTAGATAACACAGCATTTTATGATCTCTACTTGGTACAGAAGAAAAATGAGACTCAGAGAAATTAAGGTTATGTCTGAATAGTGTTTCTAACTTATTTTTAGCTTGTTGGTTTGAATAAAGGCCAAGACCTGATCAGTCAATGGAATGTTGTCAAGTTATTAAAATTTATCTCATTTTGAGATTGCAATAACTTTCCCCATCTGGGACTTGCCAATACCCTTGCCTTGGTCTGTCTGGGCTGCTATAACAAAATACCATGGTCTGGGTGGCTTATAAAAAACATAAATTTATTTCTCCTGGTTCTAGAGGCTAAAAGTTTGAGATAATGGTGACAGGATCACAGACTAGTCCTTGAGTCATCACATGACAGAAGGGTCTAGAGAGCCCTGTGGGATCTCTCTTTTATTTAAATTTATACTAGAGGCATGGTGCACAAAAATTTGTGCACTCGGGAGGGTCCCTCAGCCCGGCCTGTGTCCTCTCGCAGTCTGGGACCCCTCGGGGGATGACCACCTGCTGGCTTAGGCCCGCTCCCCGAGGGATTGGGCCTAAGCTGGCAGTCAGAAATCCCTCTGGAAGCCCGGGAGCCCTCAGGGATGTCCACTTGCCAGCAGGGAGCAGGCCTAGCTGCAGTCGGACATCCTTAGTGCTACTGAGGTGGGAGAGGCTCACACCACCACCACTGTACTGGCAGCCATCAGCCTGGCTTGTGGCTGAGCAGAGTTTCCCTTGTGAGAGCGCACTGACCACCAGGGGGCAGCTCCTGCATTGAGCATCTGCCCACTGGTGGTCAGTGTGTCATAGTGACCAGTGATTCCCAGTCGCCCTGCTGTTAGGGTCCATTTGCATATTACCCTTTTATTATATAGGATAGAGGCCTGGTGCATGGGTGGGGGCTGGCTGGTTTGCCCTGAAGGGTGTCCCAGATCAGGGTGGGGTTCCCGCTGGGGTGCCTGGGTGAGGGACTGAGGGCCATTTTCAGGCTGGTCATACCCACTTCAGGGAGGGGGGTCCTGCTGTTGTGCCTGGCCAGCCTGGGTGAGTGGCTGATGGCTGTTAGCAGGCTGGCCACAGCCCCTTCAGGGTGGGGGTCTCCACTGGGGTGCCTGGTCAGCCTGGGCGAGGGGCTGATGGCTGTTTTCAGGCTGGCCAAGCCCCCCAGCGGGGACCCTTACCCCATGAGGGTGTTGCCAGCCTGGGTGAGGGGTTTATGGCTGTTTTCAGGCTGGCCACAGCCCCTTCAGTGTGGGTTTCCCTGCTGGGGTGCCTGGCCAGCCTCGGTGAGGGGCTGATGGCTGTTTTCAGGTTGACCACAGCCCCTTCAGGCTGTGGGTCCCCCCTGGGGTGCCTGGCAAGCCTTGGTGAGGGGCTGATGTCTGTTTGAAGCCTGGCCACAGCCCCCAGCCACCCAAGCTCCCAGTGGAGGCTGGCTGGAAGCAGGTCTCTGGGATTTATTTAGCTTCTATAATTGAAACTTTGTTGCCTTTTGTGGAGGGTACAGCCAGCCAGGGCTTGCAGGAAGCTTGGCTTCCTCCATCGCCAGGGCAACCAAGCCTCCGGCTTGCTCAAGCTCCATGGCTGCTGGCTGCCATCTTGTTTGGGTTAATTTGCATATAGTTGCTCTGATTGGCTGGTGGGCGTGGCTTGGGTGTAGCAAAGGTATGGTCAATTAGCATCTTTGTCTTTTATTAGTGTAGATTTACTGTTGAACATATTACAGATGTCCCTTTTTACCCCCTCCATTCCACATTCCCCAAGAGTCTCTTTTGCAAAGGGAACTAATCCCATGTATGTGGCCTCCATCCTCAAGACCTAATCATCTCCCAAAGGCTCCACTCCCCCTACCACCATCACTTTGGGGGTTAGGATTCCAAAATGTGAATTTTGGAGAGACATAAACATTCAGACCATAGCAACTCTTCACAAAGCTGTGCCTCTCTGTGCATTTCTCTGTCTGGAAGGTTTGTTATTATGATGAGGTGGTTTTTTTTCATCTTTAATAACTCCAATGTTATCTCCTCCGATGTTTTACCTCCCCCCTCTTCTAGCCAAGTCTTCCCTCTTCTTCCTCAGAGTGCCTCAGGTACATATCTAGTATAACACAGATCATCTTTTAGTTTAATTTGCTCACATGTCTCTTTCCAAACAGTCAGTGAACTTCTCAAGAGCAGAAACTCAATTTTTATTTTCAAATACCTAGTGTCCAGCAATAGCTCTGGAAGGTAATAGATGCTCAATAAGAATTGGCAAAATTATCTTATTATTTAGGCTAGATTTACCTTTTTACTATATCAGCCGTTCAGTAATTATTGATTCTTCACTTAAATGCTGTTATGGGTTGAAGTATGTCCCCCTCCTAATGTCATCAAGTTAAGTCCTAACCCCAGTACCTCATTTGGAGACAGGTTCTTTCAGAAGTAACCAAATGAAAATAAGGTCATTTGGTTGGGCCCTAATCCAACATGACTGGTGTTCTTATACAAAGGGAAAATTGGGAGACAGACATATACACAGAGAGACCACCATGTGAAGATGAAGATAACCATCTATCAGCCAAGGAGAGAGGCTTCAAGCAAATCCCTTACTCACAGCCATAAGAATTAACCTTGCCAATACCCTGATTTTGGACTTTTACCGTTCAGAATTGTGAGGCAAAACTTTCTCTTTTGAAGACACCCAGTTTGTGGTACTTTGCTATGGCAGCCCTAGGAATCTAATATAAATAGTTTAGTGTTTGATTTGTTAATGCAAAAAAAAATGTGGTCAGTATGAAATAATTAAGGTCACCTATAAATCTTAAGGAAAAAAAAAATTGAAGCTCATAGTTCCTGATTAGATTATTTAGTTTGAAACTGCTGCCTTCAAATCAAAAGTAAACTGTTCTTAGGAGAACAAGGGTTACTATAGTTTGAACTTCAGTTTTTTTGTAAGTTATCTATACTGTAAGTATAGTTAGAGCTTGGCCGATTCCTTTATAACCTTGAGTTGGATTATGCAAATAAGCATAAAAGACATAAGCAAATAGTTGCTGAACAAAAAAAAAGCATATTAATTTCCTACTTTGTACAAATATCACCTTTGAAAAGAGATGTAGACAGTTTTGTGATTCCATTCTGTAAATCACCATTAACTGCAACTGGAACTGAACCTTCATAATAACAGTTTCACCACCCTCAGGAAATAATAGGTTCACTTTTCTATTCAACAAATCCACCTTATCCTGTCCCAAACCCCAAATTAAACAAAACCTGAAAAACAAAGCCAGCTTCCTTTCTGGCTTGCAATGATGAACATGCTCTTTTCACTCTTCAATGGGCAGAAAGAATGCAAGAACAACAAAAAATTCTCAGAGTACATAAAAGAGTGCTGCAGTGTTGATTTCACCATTCATACAGGGATCAAGGTCAAGCACAGGCATGGCTGCTGAGAGCTCATGGGCAGTCATACTTCTGGCTGTTCTTGTCCTGGCTATCTTTGGTAAGCCAACCATGCCTTTTCCTTCTAGACACTAGAAAATGTCAAAAAAAAAAGATTCCCAATCTAATGAGATTGTATTTAGCATTAGGCAAAATGTAGAAACTGCAATTAATATTTAAGTAAACATATAGATTACAGTGTCAACAATTCTTAAATTAATTTTAAAAAATCTGTTTAATTTCCTAGAAATATCTGACTATAATGGTCTATAATTTTCTTGTTGGAGATTATAGCAAGAACATTACTGCAAATAGGTTTAGGGTGTTTATTTTAATGATGGTAGGCAGATATAAATCATTGTCTTCAATGGATGGAATTTACACAAAATCTGTATATTTACATCTTTTCATAAAAGAAAATTGACTTTACCATTAAATAAACTCTTATTGACCATATATACTTTTAAGCAATGAATTATTGATCTAGTGTTTGAGATCAGCTTCTCAAATGTAGTAAATGCTCAATAAATGCTCACTGGTCAACAGAAGAGCAGATGATTAGATTTGTGTGATTGTCTCTCTAAATATTCCTATCAGTATTTACTCTGTGTTGAGTGTCCTGCTGCACTGATTTCAAATTTCAGGTAAAGAATTAAGCTTGTGGTTGTCTTTGTTCTTACTCAGGGTTTTGCTATTCTTTTCTCATACAGCTGATCCCTGTGAGAGCCAAGAGTTGCGATGTCAGTGTATTCAGATACATTCTGACTTTATTTCTCCCAAATTTATTACAAATGTTCAGTTGATACCTGAAGGTGCCTACTGCAGCAGAAAAGAAATTATGTAAGTAGTGAAGATATGGGGGAGAATGAAAGATCTAGCATTGAAATTTTCTTTCTTCCTTGTGATGAGAATTCTTAAGGTCTACTCTCTTAACTTTCATATATATATGAAAGAGGTTGAATGAGGTCAAATCTCACATCTTCTTTATATATTCATCTATCAATGGACTTAGGTTGTTCCCATATCTTGGCTATTGTAAATAAAGCTATTATGAACATGGTAGAGCAGATTTCCCTTTGAGTTAGTGTATTTGTTTTCATTAGATATATTACCAGAAGTGGAATTGCTAGATTATATGTAGTTTTATTTTAATATTGTGAAGAACTGCCATACTTTTTTTCCCACAGTGGCTATACCAACAGAACACAAGGGTTCCCTTTTCTCCACATTCTCGCCACATTTGTTATCTCTCATCATTTGGATGATAACCATTCTAACAGGAGTGAAGGGTTAGCTCATTGTGGTTTTGATTTGCAGTTCCCTAATGACAAGTGATGTTGGGCAGCTTTTCTTGTCTGTTGACTATGTGCATATTTTCTTTGGGGAAAAAAATATCTGTTTGGGTCATTTATAGTACTGTGTTTTCAAAGTTGACATTTGCTTACAAATGTACTAAATTGAGAGTACAGATGACCAGGCTCTGAGCATTATCTCTGCATAGTGTGGGAAGATTATTGTTCAGTGTTTATGCTCTCATTTCTAAAACCATCATGTACTCTCTCCAAAAATAAAGGGCTCTCAAATGGGAACATGATTAGGGTATGACTTCTTCTGAGTGGACTTTGAGGTCAATGAACATGTACAATAAGCAGAGATACATTGTCCTCTGTAAGGGTACATGGGTAATTCTTAATTGTCTGAAAATCTCTCTATTATACACTGACACACACAATAAGATCAATATTGTCTAATGGCTCTGGAGGTTGACTTGTCAATCTTCCTGAAGCCTAAAAATATAGAGCTTAGAGGCTGTGGGAAACACTTCTGCATTTTACTGAAACTTTTTTGTATTGTGAACTATATCATGCATACTGTTTGAGTTGTTCATTGCTAGTAACACATTACCATGACTTAGTGACTTAAAATAAATCTGTTTATTATCTCACTGCTCTGTAGGTCAACAGTCCAGGTGACTGGACTGTTAGCTAACACCTCTATCACATCACATAATTATTGTTTTGTTTGTTTGTTTGTTTTGTGGTAAGAACTCTTAGGATTTCATAAGGGGCTAAAGTCAAGGTGTCAGCTGGGCTAAAGTCCCATCTGGAGGCTCTGGGGAGGAATCCACTTCTAAGAGTATTTATGTTGTTGATTAAATTCAGTTCTTTGCAGTTATAGGACTAAGTATCCATATTCTTGGCTCAGGGTTGCTCTCAGTTTTTAGAAACTGCTTTCGAATTTGTCTCTTGAATTTATCTCATGCCTCACATCTCTCTCTCTACCTCTTCTGCTATAAGCAGAAACAACTCCCTGCTTTCAGGGACCACGCATTAGGCCCACCTTAATAATTATGCTTTGTTTTAATTTATTCAACTGATTAGTAACCTTAACTACATCTGCAAAATCCCTTTTGCCATGTAATGTGATAAAGTCATGGATTTGATATCTAATCAAGTTCACATTCTTGGAGATTAAGGAAAGAAACTTGGTGGGCCTTCTTAAGATTCTACTTTAAGCACACATGCAAAAGAGTATATGAATAGATATCTGTACAGTTTAAAGAGCAATAATAAACACCTGCTCACGTGTTACAGAGGCCAAAATATAGAACATAATTAGTACATCAGAAAGCTCCACATGTGACACTCCTGTTATGGGTTGAATTGTGTCTTCTATACATTTTTATGTTGAAATCCCAACCTTCAATACCTAGAAAGTGACTGTTTGGAGGTAAGGTCTTTAAATAGGTAATTAAGATTAAATGAGGTCATAAGAGTGGGGCCTAATTCAATATGACTGGTGTCCTTTTAAGGAGAGGGAGAGCCCAGCTGGCATGGCTCAGTGGTTGAGCATAGACCTATGAACCAGGAGGTTTGGTTCTCCATTGGGGCACATGGCTGGATTGCAAACTTAATCCCTGGTATTGCGTGCAGAAGGCAGCTGATTGGTGATTCTCTCTCATCAGTGATGTCTCTATCTCTCTATCCCTCTTCCTTCCTCTCTGAAATCAATTAAAACATACTTTTTTTAAAATGAAGAGGGAGAGACACCAGGAATGTGTACGCACAGAGAAAAGGACACAGTTAAGGGACAGTCATCTGAAAGTTAAGGTGAGTTGCCTCAAAAAAACAACAACACACAAATCTGTCAATATCTTGATCTTAGACTTCTACTAGACTCCATAACTGTGAGACAACAAATTTCTGTTTTTTTAAGACATCCAGTCAGTGTTATATTGCTATGCATAGCAAACTAATACAATTCTTAAATCATATACTCACCCCACTCCAAAGAGTAACTATCACTTTAAACTGTGATAGTTCTTGCTTTTTAAAAATTGTTTTAACACCAGTGTATACTACTTAAAAAGATTATTATTTATTTTGTCAGTGTTATGGACTGAATGTGTTTCCACACCTTATGTTCATATGTTGGCATTCTAATCCCTAATGTGATGATATTAGGGGCCTTTGGGGGGTGATTAGGTCCTGAAGGTGAAGTCCTCAGGAATGGGACTCAAGCCCTTGTAAAAGAGACCCCAGAGAGCTCTCTGACCATTCCATGATGGGAGGATACAGCAAGAGGATAGTAACCTGTGGAACAGGAAGTAGATCCTCACGAAACACCTAAAGTGCCTGCACTTTGGTCTTGAACTTCCCAGCCTCCAGAACTGTGAGAAATAAATGTTTGTTGTTTAAGTCAATACTTTTGTTACAGTAGCTGAAATGGACTAAGCCTGATTTTGAACTCCAGGTCACTGGAATCGCACTAAATGTATTGTTTTGTGACTTGCTTCTTATTATTCAACATTATATTCTTCAATACACACATTTTGATGTGTTTAGCTGTAGTTAATTCAATGTAAGTGATATTTAGTATTCTGCTGTAGGAATATTAAATCAACAAATACAAAATTATTTTATCCAATCCACTATTGATGCACATTTAGGTTCTTTCTAGATTTTTACCCTTATCAACATTCTGTATATGTCTCCTGGTTCATGTATATGATAGTATCTCTAGGAATTATTTGCTGGGCTTAGGATGTGCACATCTTCAATCTTGCTAGGTAATCCCATTCTATTACAAAGTAATCGCACAAACTGACACTCTTTTCTACATTTAATAATCTGTTTCTTCACATACTGGCCAGTAATTGGTCTCGTCAACCTGACTGGTATGCATTGGTATCTTTTATTTTTTAATTTTCATTTCTCTATTATTAATGAAGTTGAATTTTTTCATATATTTATGAGCATTTTGTTCCCTCTTTTGTGAAATAACTATTAATTTCATTGCTTCTTTTCCTTGGGTACTATCCTTTCCCCAATGCCTCACATTTGTTTGTTTTGTTTTGTTAGCATAGTGTGGATATTAACTCCTTGTCAGATTTATGGATAGGAAAGCTCATTTTCCAATTTGGGGCTCATATTTTTATTCTTGGTATGGTACCTTTTTATTAACATAAGTTTACATTTTTAATATATGTAAATTTAGCAATATGCTCTTTTCTGGTTAGCAGTTTTAGTGTCTTGTTTCAAAAACTTTCACAGAGCTTATAAAAATATACTTCTCTTTTGTCTTCTAAAAAGTTTACAGTTCTTTTTGTATTTAAAAATTTAACCCATCCAAAATTTATTTTTGTATATAATGTGAGGGAATTATTTAATTTAATTTTTTTAAAAATATATTTTATTGACTTTTTACAGAGAGGAAGGGAGAGGGATAGAGAGTTAGAAACATTGATGAGAGAGAAGCACCGATCAGCTGCCTCCTGCACACCCCCTACCCGGGATGTGGCCGGCAACCAAGGTATATGCCCTTGACCGAAATCAAACCTGGGACCCTTGAGTCCACAGGCCGATGCTCTATCCACTGAGCCAAACCGGTTAGGGCATATTTAATTTAATTTTATTATTTTATATAGTTCACCAATAGTTCCAGCACTATTTATTAAAAATATCATCATTTCCCTACTGATCTACCATGTTATTTCTGCTATAAATTGAGTTCTCTCAATGTGTAGGGATGGTTCTGATCTCTTTATTCTGTCCCATTAATCAATTTGTCTATACTTGTATACTATCTTTATTATTATTTTCTAATAATTTTTAACATCAGGGAAGAAAAATTTTCCCATTTTCAGAGTGGCTTTAAAAAATATATATATTTTTTATTGATTTCAGAGAGGAAAGGAGAGGGAGAGAGAAATAGAAACATCAATGGTAAGAGAGAATCATTGATTGGCTGCCTTCTGCACGCCCCCACTGGGGATCAAGCCCACAACCCAGGCATGTGCCCTTGACTGGAATCTAACCTGGAACCCTTTAGTCCGCAGGCCAACATTTTATCCACTGAGCCAAATCAACTAGGACAAGAGTGGCTTTTCTTTCCTTGGACTTTTGCTCTTCCAGATAAACCTTAGAAGTAGCTTGCAAATCTGCACTGATTATAATTTTTGAGTGAATTTTCTTTGAAATTATAGATTAATTTGTGAATTATTGACATCTTTATGATTTTGAGTTTTTAAGAACATAGAATAGCTTCAAATTTATTGAGGCTTTCTGTAATGTCTTCAAAGTTTTATATTTTTCTCTACAAAAACCTTTTATACGTTTTTTATTATTAAAACTTATTTCTAGTCACTTCATATTATTTGATAATATTGTAAACAATAGCTTTACAAAATTTTACATTCCAGCTATTCTGTGTTGAGAAATAAAACTTTTTATTGCTTTTGTAACCACCAACTCTTTACTTAGGTATTCACATCTCCTGGGAATAATGGCAGTTTAGTTTCCCTCTTTTGAAAACCTTATACTTTTTATTCATTTTTCTAACTTTACTGAGATGGCTGGGGTGGTAGTAGGCACCCTTATTTTGTTTCTGCATTCAAAGGGAATACTTCCAAGTTTTCATCATTATGCATGATGTTTTGTGGTTATCCTTGTACAGGTTATTTGATAAAGATTTATTATTATTCTATTGTCATTATATTTTCTTACAGTTGAATATTAAATTGTGTTATTTACTTAAACTCTGAAATGTACACCCCAGCTCAGAGTGTAGAAAGATGATCTGTTCCTCCTGTAATGAATGTCAAAGGAGTGGAGCTTTGTGGTTCTGTAAAGTGCAGAACAAAGCAGTACATTCTGAACCCCTAGAGAATTCATTGAAATAAGCAACTTACGGTCTCCCTGTCTCTCTCAGTAATAAAAGAGGCTTACCAAGAGCCTAAAAACTAACAAAATTAGCATAGATATAATTATAAAATACATAGTAAGTGGTTGATAACTGGCAGCCTGGAAGATATTATACTTATGTAGATTTTTCAGAGACTACTGTACCTTACACATCTTAAAACCAATAAATGTTTGCTGATTAATTGATATGTAAAAAGTCTTTTAGAAAAAAAATGTTATTCTTTTTGTGGATTAAAAGTAATTTAGTTGTACATACTGATGTGACTAAAAGTCATTTTCTAATAATGTTATTAACATATTTTGAGAAAACCATGTCCTCATTTTAAACATATGCATTAACTGTTATAGAAATTCTAATGAATAAATTTAAAGCATTATTAAGTACAGTTTTTATTTAACCAAAACACTCTTTTCTTTTCAGAGTCACATTGAAAGATGGGAAATTAATTTGTTTGGATCCTGAGGCTGATTGGGTGATGACTATTATAAAAAAGATTATGGACAGGTACAATTAATACCAGAGATTTTCACATTCACATTCATGCTCTCTATTTTCTTAATACACAGACTCTTCTATAAATTGGAATAAAATTACAATAAGATTACAATAGGTCTATACCAGGGAATTCATAAGTGTGGTCCCCACACCAGCAAAATTAGCATCATCTGACAATATGTTAGTTATGCAAATTCCTAGGTCACACCTCCAACCCACTGAATCAGAAACTCAGGATTGGCACAATGGTCTGCTTTAACAAAATCTCTAGGTGATTCTGATGAATGCTGAAGTTAAGAATCACTGGTCCACACCTTTTATTTAACATGATATCCAATTTGACATGTGTTATAAATAACCTCCTTGGATATGAAAGTGGTTTAAAATGATTAGAAGATGTTTTATGTAGACCAACTTTGCAGACGATAGACCCATTTGATAAAAGAAACTTTAAGAAAAAAAAATTCCCTCCTTTGAAAAATGATGTATTTCTGACAATAGTTCTGAAAACTAAACTCCAAATGGAATTGCAAATTTGTGGATGGAGCAGGTATAAACGAGGACTAACAGGTGATAATGGGAGAATATTTGAATTAACTTATAAACAATATATTTTTTAGATTTTTAAGTCATAGCAGACAGAGGTAAGAAGAAAGAGGTGGCCATTCATAATGAAAAAACTAAATTTTGTGTTTTCTTTAATTGAAAAGAAAAGGAAAACAAGTTAAGGTTATATGAAGCTTAGAGTCATCTGAGGGTCACCTCAGCAGTTGAGTGATTCAATGTTTGGGGAGGACCTTGGGTTTTTTAATTCAATAGCTATTCTATAGATCCACCAGCTACAAGTTATGTTATTCTGGATAAGTGACAACATTGGGGTTTTTATACTTATACTTGTTCTTACTTTGATCTATCATTGGGGAACCTGAGATAATACACGTGAAGTATTTAATTATAGCTATTATTAATTTTCAGTTTACCAAAACATGGACTTATTTAGTTATTTTTTAGTTATTTTTAAATTTTTTTTTCTTACAAGGGACTACATAGGAGTAATCCTGTGTATCTGTATAGTTACATGTCACTCTCTTTGTATTGTAGTGCCCCTAACTGACGGTCACACAAGGAACATCACATCCTCTGGACATCAAGAGCCCTTGGTTTCATCCTTCAGAATTGTCTTTGAAAGTGGCACCAATTTATGCTAATTTAGGACTACAATGAATTGCTTCCTCTATTTATGTTGCAGACCTAAAAGTTGTTTTCAGTCAAGTGACTGGCTTTTGTGAGGAGAAAAGGTGTTGAAATTTCCATTATGTAGAAAGGATAGTCCCCAAAACTCATATCGTAGGTAAGAGGTTTTCCTGTTAAGCTCAATATATTTTAGCAGATTTCACCTCCTTCATGCTGTCCACTAATACCCTGTGGTCCATTTAACTTCCCAGCTAACTCTAACATTGGACCACTGATTTTCTCTCCAACCCATCCTTTGATATTATTCTTAACTAGGGGCCCAGTGCACTAATTCATGCACCTTGAAAGAAACTACGGGCCATGAGGCTGCTGTGGGCACAGAGGCAGGTCTCAGCCCATCCTCCGTGCCCCTGCCTGGTCCCTCCTGCCACAGCCCCCCCAATCCCCTGTCTGTTGGCAGCCCCTCTCCTCCTGCTGCCGCTCCCGCAGATGATGGCGCCAGCACCACTCGCACCCACTGATGGCACAGAGAGATTGGGGCCAGCTCCAGCAGCGGGTGTGAGCGGTGGCTGCTTGCCCAGATCACCCTTCAGGAGCATGGGGAGGTGGAGAAGCCCAGAGGGGTGATCAGGGCAGGCAGCCACCACTCGCACCCACTGATGGCACCAAGCAATCAGGGCCAGCGCCAGGCACTGGCAGCATGTGCAAGTGGGGCCTGTGCCGGCAGCAGGTGTGAACTCTGGGTGGGACCGTGGCACATGGGAGCAAAGAGTTTTCAGTAACCACCAGAGGCTCACCCTAATGACAGCAACCAGCGCCCCACCTTGGTCTGGCACCCCCACTAACCTGCTCCACCATCCGCTGTAGCCAATGCTCACCATGTTCCATGCTCTACAACCTGCTGCCAATGCCAGCCATGTTCCGTGCATGCCCCCTGGTGGTCAGCACACGTCATAGGGATCAGTTGTTTGGTTGTTCCACCATTCGGTCTATTTGCATATTAGCCTTTTATTATATAGGATAACATCAGTATATTGTTTTTTATTAACTTATCAACACTCTGGTCTCAACACTCAACCTTTTGAGTTCCAAAGGCCTAAACCTCCACAACCTTGTACTCAGAACAAATTAAGATTATTTATCTACAGTGTTCAATAATAAAATATGTCATTCATTATAAGATCTGAAAACAGAATTCATTACAAAGAAGCAAATGGGATGTCATACAGTTGTATAACACGATTGTCTTAAATTTTAAGAATTCACTTTTAAATTAAGCAAAACTAGTAGATAACATCAGCCAAGAGTAGAAGTGACCCATCCCAGGAAATTGTGAAGTCATCATGTAAGGAGAAGAGGACGAGGAAATTCATGACCATCAAGACCCAGGGAAGATCACAAGGATGCTGCCTCAGAAAGAACAGATGGAAAACATAGAGCTAAAGTAATGTTCTAGTTATTGAACTTCTTCTTGGAATTTTTGCATATGTAACACCATACTTAGTGACTGAGCATCATTTTTATTTTACTGTTTCTAAAGAAAAATGTGCTAATGTCTGAGTGATATTCTCATGTTGTCAATGAATTGGAATGCTGCTTCAGAAAGTGCCTTAATCAGTTGGGGCTACTATAACCAATCACATGAACTGGGTGGCTCGAACAACAAACACTTATTTCTCACAGTCTGGAGGCTGGAAATCCAAGGTCAGGGTGCCAGTTTGTCAGGCTGTTGGTGAAGGCTTTCTTCCTGCTTTACCAATGGCCTTCTTCCTGCCTTCTTGTGGTGGCTTTTTCTTTTAAGGGAACTGGTGTTATTTATGTGCGTTCCACTCTCATGACCTAATTACTTTTCAAGGGCCCCACCTTCAAATACCATCACATTGAGATTAGGGCTTGAACATATGAACTCTGGAGGGATGCAAATATTCAGTACGTAGCAGAAAGGGATTCAGTCCAGAGGCACTGGAGCCCTCAGGAATTTTCTTGTGACGTATTATGTCTTTTCCTCTCCCCACTGGCTTAACGTTTCTTTTTTTCTCTCTCTGCTCCTCCGGTCTCTATGGCAAGTCATTCACAAAAAGTAACTTGCTTTCCCTAAGATTCAATTTCCAATTCTTAGGATAGAAGACCTTATTGACCACAATGATTCAAGTGTCCACATAGGTCCAATCAACTGTGGCCAAGGGACCATGGTTACATGGTGAGCGTTTTTACTTCTACTGTTACATCTGGAACACTCTCAACAAAAGAACTATTTTAGAAACCACAAGTAGAAGATTCAGAGTATTTTGAAAATAAAATTCCAAATTTCAAGAGAAAAGGATCCATTTGGCACAGTTGAGTTATGCAACCACTTATGGTCTAGACTCCTGTGGACAGGAGAGGGGAACACACCACAGAGACATGGCCAGCCAGAGTGAGGCAGGTGATTTCCAGAGAAGCTGGCAGACAACTCAGGGGTTGCTCCACAACTTTGAGAGCACTCTTCTCAAAATGAATATGGTGTTTCTGGTTCCAGAAGGTGGTTTATTTATTTAATCAAAAAATTTTGGACAAAATAACCTAAAAATCCTTATGCTACAAATCACCTAGAAATACTAAATGAGATATGAAATGTCTTTTCAAGTGAATAGCTTAATTCTCCAGAGAGTAGGAAAAAAAAACTCAGGATATTCCCCTAGGCCTCTCAAAAACAGAAGCAGAAAGTAGGAGAGGACATTTCATAGGTAAGTGATTTAGGTTGAGCAGGGTGAGGAACAAAAAGTTTTATCAATAACCTAGATGTTGACATTTAATTTCACATCAGGGCAGATGTCATGATTGTGCATCTTGGTATGATAGAGAGTTGTAACAAAGATCCTTGTATAAAATCAGAACTTCAATAAAAATAAAGCTACTAAAAAGCATAGGTTTGTGATAAAGAAGCATGTGTGCCTCAACATAAACAATGATGGGGGTGGGGAGGCAATTTTTCCCCTGAAAAATCTTTACTAAGAGTCTATCTTCAAGCAGTTTTGGAATTCCATTATAACATTATAGCATCTCTATGGTCTGGGAACTCCAGCTAGCAGAGAAGGATATCCACATTGATATCTGACAGAAATGAAAGTAAAATTGCCCAGCAGGATGGACCCCACAGAAGTCTCAAAGATAAAGCCGTGCTGAAGATGAGCCCACACTCCAAATTTACAAAACTCTGGAGGAGCCATCCACCCTGAACAAGAGTTAAGACCCACAATAAACAGCATCCCTAAAATGAAAGTGTTAAAATCAACAAGGAGACCATTATAAATATGTTTCAAAGCATTTGACATCAAAGAAGAAATTAGATCCTAAGGAAAGGACAAGATACTATGAAACCAAGAAGATTGGTGGGAGGGCAGACAAATAAATAATAGGGAAAAGAACAGCAAGTTAAAAAACACACAAAGGAAAGTTTAGAGATAAAAATGTGATTATATAAAGTAAAATCTCATGGTATGACTTAAACAGAAGATTAGATTCACCTAGAGAAACAATTCTTTTAAACACATCTAGGATGCAGCAGAGATATAAATATAGAAGATACAAAAAGGAGGTTGAGAGACTTTAAGAAAACTATGAGCCTATCCAACTTATTTTTTAATAGTTTTTTTTAAAAAAATTATCCTTGTTGTTGAAAGTATTACAGATATCCCTTTTTCCCCCCATTGACCCTTTCCATCTCGCACCCACCCCTCCTAGGCCTTCAACACACTATTTCTGTGCCCATGAGCTATGCATATATGCATATAAATTTCCCATCCTGTTAATAATTATTCCCCATTTTTTTTAATTGATTTTAGA